CTGCTGGTCCTGTAACCACTACTATACTTTGCCTGTTCTGGGCATTTCATAGACATGGAACCACAGCATGTGGCTTTTTGTCTCTGTTCTTTCATAGTGTACGCTTTCAAGGTTCACCTACATTCTAGCACGTATCAATACTTCATTGCTTTTTATGGAGGGTGATATTCCACTGTATGGCTAGTCCACATTTTATATGTCCATTCGTGAGCTGGTGGACAGTTGGGCTGCTTCTCCTTTTTTACTATTATGAGTAATGCTGCTGTGAACATTCATGTACATGCCTGTGTGTGATCACACATTTTCATTCCTCTTGGGTGTCTACTTAGCAAGGGAATTGCTGGGTCACGTGATCACAATTAACTTTTGAACAATTGCCAAACTGCTTTCCAAAGCATTGCTCTACTTTGCATTCCCATCAGCAATGTAGGAGGGCTCCCCTTTCTCCAAATTCTCTCCAACCCTTGTCGTTGTCCCTCTTTCTGAATCTTGCCCTCCTTGTGGGTGTGAAGTGGGGTCTCATTGTGGTTTTGATCTGCACTTCCTTGATGACTAAAAGTGTTGGGTGTCTTTTTAGTGTTGCTGTTGGCCGTTGGTGTATCTTCTTTGGAGAAATGTCTCTACATCCTTTACCCATTTTTAAGTTGGACTATTTGCCTTTTTATCGCTGAGTTGTAAGAGTTCTTGATATATTCTGGGTACCAGACATTTATTAGATACTAGAAGCCCAGTGCACAAAATTCATGCAAGGGGCTCAGCCCTCACAGCCCCGGCTTCCTCTGGAAGGTCGTCCAGACGGTCATTCTGCTATTCGGCCATCCAGTCTAATTAGCATATTATGCTTTTATTATTATAGATATGATTTGCAAATACTTCCTCTCTGTGGGATTTCTCACTTTTTTATTTTGTTTTTAATGAAAGTTGTAGAGAAGGTTATTCCTGCATCATCTCAATAGTTTCTTCCTTGAGCCCTAGTTGGTGTGGCTCAGTGGATAGAGCATTGGCCTGTGGACTGAAAGGTATCAGGTTCGGTTCTGGTCAAGGGCACATGCCCAGGTTGTGGGCTCAATCCCTAGTGTGGAGTGTGCAAGAAGGCAGCCAATCAATGATTCCCTCTCATCATTGATGTTTCTCTCTTTCTCTCCCTCTCCCTTCCTCTCTGAAATTAGTAAAAACATGTTTAAAGCAAAATAGTTTCTTCCTTGTATTTGCCTTATTTCTTCCTACTTGGTGCGATTTGGCTTTTCGTTCGAGGACCTCTCTGTGGTCTCTGTCCAGCTTTAGCGGTGATAACCGTGTGCTGGGGATGCCCCTGTGAACAGCTGTACCGTGAGCTTTCTCCCGCCCACTCCTCCAGCGGAGACCACATATTTCTCCCTGGAAACCTGCACTTCCTGCCACTTTGTGGCCCTTCGCAGTGTCCTCACACACTTGAACTTCATCACCCTTTCGGACAGGCGTGGGTCGAACTCCACACCTCTCTCAGCTCCTTGGGAAGCGACTGCGGGAAGGAGCATGGACATGCCCTGGACGGTTCTGGCTCCCGTCAGAAGTCACAGAGATTGAGCTTCATTTTGACCGCTGGCGGGCGCTTCTGCCATGGCCGCAAACGGGAAGAGACCCAGGGCTGCTTCTGGTTTTTCACTTTCTGGAGGGTGACTTGAAGCAGACGTTTTTAATTTTGAGGAAGTCCGGTGTGTCTGTTTTCCCCCTTGGCTGCTTGTGCCTTCGGTATCTTACTAAGGAACCGTTTTCTGATCCCGGGTCCCAGGGATGTACCCCTAGCTTTTCCTTGAGGGCTGTAGTTTTGCTCTTTGATCCACATGAAGCTAATTTTTGCGTATGGAACGAGGCGACAAGGTGTAGCTTCGTTCTCTTGCACGTGGTTGTCCCAGCACCACTCACTGGAAGGATGATCTCCCCCTTTCCAATGGCCCTGGCACTTTTGCCAGAAATCAGTCGACCACAAATGTAGCGCTTCTTGGTTATTTCTGGGTGTTCTCTCTAGTCCACGGATGCACACGTTCATCCTGTGCCAGCAGCATTGTGCTGATTAGTGTCACTTTCTGGTAAGTTTTGAACTCAGGAATTGGGAGTCCTCTGGCTGTGTTCTTCGCCCTCAAGGTTGTCTTGGCCATTCTGGGTCCCTCGCATTTCCTTATGAACTTTAGATCGCCGTGTCAGTGTCGGTACAAACAGCCGGACTGTGCTTCGTGTACATAATTTTGTTGGATTGGTTGGTTTCCTTTATTTTCCTGGCCTGTAGATTGTCTCTTAAGCCCTTCCCCAGGTCAGGCCAGCCCCCAGCGGGAGCGAGCTGGCCAGGACTGGAGAGGGAGTCTGTGCTGCATTGAGCAAGCAGAACCCTAGGGCCCCGGTCAAGGCAGCCTGGAGGGCGTGTGTGCCCGAGCACAGCCAGAGCACAGCTGGCCTTTTGCCAAGTCTGGGCTGGAAGCAGCTCACCCGCGCAGCAAGGCCAGTGGTGGCTGCCTTGAAGGAAGTCACTAGAACGCGGCAGAGCTGAACTGAACGCTCTTGGACTGAACGCAGAACTCTGCACCCACTGCCAGGGGCTCGTTCTGCTCTTTTGGCAAAAAATGTCAAGTTACATGTAGTCATGCTTATTAGGTCATCACCTCTGCATGAGGCCCGGGGTCCCAGCCTTGGGGAGAGGTGGCTGGAACACTGGGTCCCAGCTGCAGGCTGCTGCCACTGTCCTGTGCGTGGGCAGTGATGGCGACAAGGGCTCCCCTCCCCTTGGGCACCGTAGCATGGTTGCAAGAACTGCTTCAGACACGTCCCATTCAAACCTCACACACTGCGGGTAGGAGGTTCTCTTACAGTTACTCCCATTTTACAGATCACACAGCTGAGGCACAGAGAGCCTGCTTATTTCTTCAAGGACCCATAGCTGGGAAGTGGGGAGTGTGTATGTGGTCTGCTGCCTCTCTAAGGGGTTGGCCCTTCACACATAGGTAGAACTGCCTGCTTGGGTCCAAGCCCCGGACGTCTCAGGGTCAGATTCCGCAGTAGCCTCACTCTGCAGATAGCCAGGAGGGAGGGGCGAGCCTGTGATGAAGGCGGACACATCACTGCCTCGTGCTGCACCTACTCCCCAGTGGGGTGCAGAGGAGCTGCCCAGGGGAGCATTTCAGGGACTGCCGGGGCTTCCCAATGGTCTGCACCCTTTGCTCCCTTTGTATCGCTGCTGCCCGAGGTAATGGGGCTGCTCCTCGAGGCCCCATTATCACTGCTTTCCCACTGGGGCCCCAAGCGGCATCAGGACTGTTGCTCCTCTCTCCCTCTCAGATGTCGGGGAGGGCATCGCCCCCTCTTAGAAGCCTTTGTTTTCCCCAAAGAAGAGAATGGCCAGCTGGTTGCTACTTAAACTTTAAAAACTGCCTTGAAAAAACAAAACAAAACAAAAAAAACCTGCCTTGTCCTCTGTGTGTAACACATCCAACAGCAACTTGGGCTTACTCCTCATGGGTGGCAGAATACTATGGCCTTCCTGTGACATTACGCCCTATACATAGAAAAACAAAAACAAAACAAAAAGCTGCCTTGCCTTTCCTTCACCACCTGGAAGGAGACCTGGCTGCCCATTGCCTGGTGTGCGTCTTGGAATCTGTTGGGGTCTCCAAACATTTCCGACTGGGCTCCTCTGCAGGGAAATGTGCCAAGCACACATGCACATGTATGTTCACGCATTAAACTGTCTCTATGGGAACACAGATATAGGACACTCACTATAAAAACTACAGAGAAATCAAGCATTTTAAAGGCTTTCCTTTATTCTGGTGGACTGGATGTACATGATGTTAGCCAGATTAAAAGTCACGTGGATTCAGTTCTTCCCGACCCTGTCTCTTCCCCCACCAGCCTGTTACAGTTACCCCGATGAAGGGGGCAGGTTTGACCGGCACTCTGTACCTGTTATAGACGACACACGTTCTTCTTTCAGGCTTATCCAGAACCGGATCACAGCCAAGGGGGTCGCCCAGCTGGCAGACGCCTTACAGAAGAACACTGGCATCATGGAGATTTGGTAAGACCCGCCCTCCCCCTGTGGTAATGGCAGTGCATACTCAGCACCAATGGCTGTGTGCCAGGTACCCCGGAGGGCAATTCCATCTTCCCAGCCACCCTCACACAGTGATCCCTTTCCTAGAACCAGTCCCTTCCTGCGGGTTCTGTTGCTAGCAGTCACCACACTGCATTGCAACAGCTTCCTCTGTGGCCATCTCCGCCAGACTGTGAGGTAGGGCCTGCGTCCTGGTCACCGCTGTGTCCCCAGGAACTAGCGCTGCTCCTCATTCGTTTGTTGAATAACCAAGTGCTTGCGTGCCAGGCACTGTGTTGGCACAGAAAATCCAGTAGCGAATGAGAAGGACCTGCCCTCATAGGTTTACCATCTATTAAGGGTGACACAGTGAAAAAAAATCATTCAAACCCAGCTGGTGTGGCTCAGTGGTTGAGCAGCGACCCATGAACCAGGAGATCGAGGTTGGATTCCCAGTCAGGGCACATGCCCAGGTTGAAGGCTTGATCCCCAGTAGGGGGCGTGCAGGAGGCAGCCGATCAATGACTCTCTCTCATCATTGATGTTTCAAGCTCTTCCTTCCTCTCTCTGAAATTAATGAAAACATTACAAATTAATTTTTAAAAAATCATTCAAGTGATTAATTAAATCGTGGTGAGTGCTATAAAGGGGAAAGCTAGGGAGGGAACCTAACACAGGTGAGGTTCCAGGGATGGTCTCCTTAAGGAAGTGGCATGGAAACTAAGCCGTGAAAGATGACTAGGAGTTAGTCCGTGGAGGTGCGAGGGAAGGTGTCCCAGGCAGGCGGAACAGCATATGCAGAGGCTCAGAGGCAGGAAGGAGCGTGATGTCCAGGAGCTGTGTGTCTCGGGGCTCAGACAGTGTGGAGGAGGGTCCACAGGGGCGGAGGACGGGGAAACTAGACCACAAAAGATGTGTGTGTCCTGTGGCACAGGCGGGTGTTTGTCCTAAAAGCAACAGGAAGTCATTGAAGGTTTGAAGCAAAGGAGGATGTGATCAGATTTGCATTTTACTCGTTTTCTTTTTCTCCAACAGCCTCAATGGGAACTTAATGAAGCCCGAGGAGGCCGGAGGCTTTGAGGGTGAGAAGCGGCTTGTCCTTTCCTGAGAGGACGCCTTCCTGTCCGAGGATCTGGCCCTGGGAGGGCGCTAGTGGCAGCAGCCACTCTGCGGTCACCTGTCTTAGGTGTCATCTTGCAAGGGGACTGCCTGCCGGGAGCCCAGAGCCTTCACAGATGCTGATAGGCCAGCTCCCTGCACAGCTGGTGCAGTTTCACAGGGAAGCGTGGGCTTTGTGAGCCATGTTGGTTCCTGGAAACATGCCATGGAGACATTCCTGAGTGCCCATGATCGCTGTGACCTGCATCAAGAGGAATGACTGAGCTTGTACAGCGCCTGCCCTGGCGGTGGGGGAGTGAGCGGTCACTGCTGTCCTCACTGAGCCGTCGAGGGCGTGGTGTAGAGTTGGTGCCGAGTTTTTTGCCGAGAAGATGCTCCATGAACAAGAAGTGTTCTGCCTGAAATCTTCCTCCTCGGTACCTCCCCATGTGTTGCTATCCTTCCCGCTTCACAGCTGTAGATACTGAGGGGTGTCCTGTGTGGGGTGGTAGTGGGTGCCAAGGAAAAGACCTGGCACAGGCTTTTTTATCCTGGGGCCTCACTGCCAACCGAGACCACTGGCTGCGCTCTTAGCTAAGAGCAAGGGCGATGCCTTCATGATGCTGCGTTTCCACTCAGGGGTTTCCCACGCGAGGCTGACCTCCTCCGGAGACTAACACCTGGCAGAGCTGCTCTGCCCCAGGAAGACTGCCTGCCCCCAGAAGAGGCGTGGCTTACCTTGTGGTCCTGGCACCCACTGAGCCTCCTCTCCCCTGCCCTTCTCAGGAGGTCTCCTGCCTGAGTGGCTGTGAGGGTGACGGAGTTGGAGCCAAGGGTCAGGCAGCTCCGAGGACCCGCTAGCATGTCAGGCCCCGACCACAGTGATGGGCGCATGGTGGGTGCTAATGGGGGAGGGTGGCGATAGGATCAGACGACCTGCCCTTTCACCAACCCATTTGTTAATAAATACTGAGCACGCTATTTCTAATTGCCTGAGTCCGGGGTGCTCTAAGGGAACCAAAACTGTGAGCTCGCTGTTTGCTGATCCCCACACTGGACAGAGGCATCTTCATTCTGGTCCTTCATAGGCCTTTCCATCCGACCACCAAGTCCAAACAGGTGGCTGCTCAGAGGAACTGACTGAGGCAGGGGGCTGGGACCAGGGTATACTGTTTTGGGCCAAATTTCACGGCTCCCTGCTATGCCATGAGAGGTCCTGGCAGGCCAGGTCCGATGTCCACGATGTTCCTCTGCCATTAGGCTGAGTGGAGGACCCAGATGGGCCGTCACCCACTGTGGCAAGAGGCACCGAGCTGAGTGGTTAAACATGAGAGGGGAAGGGACGAGGGCCCCCAGCAGTACCTTTCCGTTCTCGGAGGTGCAGCCTGCTGGGTACAGCCGCCCTGTTTGGAAGGGCTCAGTTCTAGAGGTCCCCCTGCAAGTTATGGGGAAAATTCTGTGCAGTCATCCAGCCACATGGTGGCCATTCCCTTAAGGCGCTGCTTTGACGGTTCCTACCCACCCCTCCCCTCCCCCTCCCCCCAGGTCTGCATATTCACCTGCAGTCACCCCGGATGCAGAGCCAGAGAACCACATTTCTCAGCCGACAAACCAGGATTTGATCACACCACTCACTCTCAACTTTTCGAGCCTACAATATACTCAGAAACTACCACAGATCACGGCTTTTAGAGACTAGGAAAATTTATGTGCTGTTGGCTTAAATTCTATTTGGAAATACCTTGGTCCTCTAGGTGATGAAGGAAAGATTTTTCTCTCTCTTACAAAAGTGGAATCAGGACCTTAACTTGCTGGGCTGAGACGTGGGGACTTTTCCTAGGCAAGAAAGACACAATTGGAAATGGAAAAGAAAAGAGAATTCCACAAACTTGGATATAACTATTTCTTTTCACAGGACGTCTCGGTTGATTTTGGGAAAGAAGCCACGGCTCCCACCTTTCCAACGTGCATTTCTGGCACGGTCCTGCTGACGGTGAACTTACTGAAAAGCCACGTCAAGTCACTGGGCAGCAAGTCACTGGGCGGCTTCGGGCTGGTCCTAAGGCTGCTGGAATCTCAATTTCCTCCTTGAAAATGGGAATGCGAGGGCCCTGACTCGCAGGGTGGTTTGAAGATGAAACGAGCTGATGCAGGGAAAGCAGCACAGAGCCGGCACAGGGCCACTGCTCAACATGCTCTGGTTATTATTAAACCGATGTTTCCCTTTTCTGCTCACAGTGGAACCCATAGGTTGTTCTCATCTCACTCTTAGGTTTAGGGAACTTCTCAACAAGGTCAAACATGGGGCTGGAAGGTCTCAAAGTCTCCGAAAATATTCAACATTGAGTTTCCTGCAATAGCCTAGCTTTGTCAGTGAAAAGCACAGGCATTAGTTTCCATCATTGTTACCAACGAGTCCTACCATGTAAGTGTCGCTCACGGAACGGGAGGCGGGCTCGTGTCTTCCTGGCACAGCAGGGAGTCAGCCCCACCACTCAGAGCCGCCCAGGAGCCTTCGCCAGGCGCATTTTCAGCTCCTGAACTGGGAAGCAGCAGTTGGCTCATTGCTATTTCGATCCACATCCAGGGGTGGCACTCATCTACTTTAGTAATTACTCACTTAAACAACCACCAACTGACCAACCAACCGTGCTGTGAAGCTGAGAGGCAAAGCCATGACCATTATCCCCGGCCCATGGGTAAGAATTTTAATAAAAATGGAATTAGCTCCTGAGGAGGCCCTGAATCAAGTTACCCCACAGATGGGCTCGAGGCAGAGCAGCGGGGCCCAGGGGCCATCCCAGCACGATTCCCTCAGCCTTAAACTGAATCAGCTGCACCCAAGACCAGCTTAAAACTTTCAGTGGCACTAAGACTGAAAAGGTCATGGGCCCCCAAGGATCTGTAACTTAAAATAAACAACAGTAAATTATAAAGTAAGTGCTAGAGTGCTAAACAAGTTTCTGGTTTTCCCCTGATGACTTGGGTGCTTTCTTGGGGAATAACAAATATCAAAATATCTCAGATTATTTCTTGATTTTTTTTCTGTCTCATTGCTTTAATTATAAAAGCAATATCACACTATGGAAAGAAAAATTTAAACTGTTTATAACATTGAACTAACACAGGCATTTTACTTTTTGCATATTATCTTCCCAGGTTTTGCCTTCTTTGAGGCATTTCCCCCACCCACCCACCCTTTTTTTTTTACTGTGGTAAAATATGTAACATAGAATTTTCCATCTTACCCATTTTTAGTGCACAGCTCAATGGTATTACATACATTCACACTGCAGTGTAACCATCACCACCACCAGGACTCTTGTGTTCTTGCAAAACCGAAACTCTGTCCTCATTAACACCACATCCTCTTGCCCCCAAACCCCACCCCCATGTCCCTGGCAACAAGCCTTCTACTTTCTCTTTCTATGATTGGACTTCTCTAATTACCCTATATACAGGGAATCATGCAGTGTTTATCTGTTGTGTCTGGCTTATTTCTTTTCCAGCCTATGTGAGCCCATGCAGTTTAGGGGTGTAGCAGTGGTTTGGAAGCAGGCAGAGTTAGAGAACAGTAGTAGGAAGCCAGCAGTCTCCTTTGAATAGGAACAACATTCCTGCCCTGGACTCTTGCCCCAGATCAAGCATGTCAAACTCAAAGGCTAACACAGGCCAAATGAACAAGGTTTAAGTTTATGTGGGCCACAAAAAACAAAAGCTTCAATTTTCATAGAAATGTAGGTTTATTTAGAAAAGTACAGTATAAAAAAAAGAGCAATGACAAAATTAATGTCTTCTTCCTGACACTTGGCATCTCTTCTCTGCTACCATCTTTCCTACTTCAGGGGAAATCTTGTTCGCAGTGATTACTTTCAAAACTGACCCAAGGTGAAATGTCAGTATTTCCGGATCTGACAGGAGACTTATTTCCTTTCATAATTGTAAACAACTTCTCACACCGTTATACTGGCTGGGCCGCAAAAATATTCGTTGTGGGCTACATGCAGCCCGAGAGTTTGACATGCTTGCCCTAGATCGGCAGTCACCAACCGGTGGCTCACCCCCACCCCCACCCCCCACTTCCCCACACAGATCATTGCTGAGACGGGCACAGGCAGTAACTACAGCTGGGCTGCAGGGAAGATGAAAGACCCACAAGCTGGCATCTCTTTGAAGGTGATACTGTGCTAGAACCACTTAGTAGGACAGGACAGCTGTATTTTCAACACCAGGTTTCCTTGATATAAAAGTATACGTATGTATGGCTCTATCAGTGGATACAGCGTTGGCCTGTGGACTGAAGGGTTCTGAGTTCAATTCCGATCAAGGGCACATGCCCAGGTTGCAGACTCAATCCCCAGTAAGGGGGTGAGGGGTGCAGGAGGCAGCCAATGATTCTCTCTCATTGATGTTTCTCTCTCTTTCCTGTTCCCTTCCTCTCCGAAATCAATAAAAATATATTTACAAAAAATAAAAGTATACATATGTATGAATGTGCCCTTGCTTTGCCTAAACAAACCCAATCTAACTGAACCCATTCACACTGGGTCTGATGGCAACTTCCTCCCAGGAACCCCATGAAGTAGGATTGATCTCATGAATAAGGAAACAGACCTAGTGAGTGTAGATAGGTATTGTGTCATACTAATCAGGATGCATGTAAAAATGGAACAAGCCCTGGCCAGTGTGGCTCAGTTGGTTGAGTACTGTCCCATGCACCAAGAGGTCATGGGTTCAATTCCTGGTCAGGACACATGCCCTGGTTCCTGGCTCGATCCCTGGTGGGCAGTTGTGCAGAAGGTAGCCTCCTTTGGCTCTCAAATCCCTTTCTCTCCCTCCCTCTTCTCTATAATTTTTTTTTAAATGGAACAAAAGGCAAAACTTTTCAGGAAAAGAGATCTTGGCAAACATAGAAAGTTGACAAAGTCTAAGATTTTGAGCCCCCTTAGTATGGCCAGTGAGGAAACGGGTTGGAGCACCAAAGCATGCGGAGCAAGAACTAGAACATGGGCCTTCTGCTGGTGTTACTTTCCCTCCGTTCTGATAGACTGTGTGCCCTTCGGTTCACTCTGCAAATGACCTTTCTGCCACGCCTATAAACCTGGTCCAAGCCATTAGGGCGGGTTAAGCAATGACCTCCCTGCCCTAGGACTCCTTGGGAAGCTTGGTCTTTAAGCCTAGGTCCATGGTGCGAAAAGTGACAGGATCCTGAGTCCCATTTACAGGCCTCGCTGTCTGCGAGTTGCAAGGACAGGAGCTCCTGGCCAGTGTCGGGTGATGCAAGGGTCTGACCACAGAGCCAGCAGCTTCCCCGCTGACCACACACCCACTAACCCCCAACCCCGGACTGACCACAGGAAGTGGGTGCGCAGGGAAAGCCGGAGGTCAGATTTGGGCGATTCTCATCACCAGAGGGCAGCACATGCCTAGCGATGACCCATTACGCAAATGGCCCAGAGGCGTCAGGGGGCCTGGTGACTGAGGGTTTTATTTCAGTAAGACTCTGTCCAAAGTACATGGTGTTAAAAGCAGTTGCATTTTCAGCCCATTCACCTGACTTCAGAGACACTGGTAAGTAGGGAGGGCTGGCCCGAGGCACCCTGAACAGCACTGTTACAGACTGTTCTTGGGGTGCTGAGGATCTGGGCTCAAATCCCAGAGCTCCCAGAAGCTGTGTGACCTGGGACAAGTGACTCAGCTTTTCTGTGCCCGAGTTTCCGCACAGAAGTTCTGAGTTTCCTCGCAGGGCTGCTGTATGAAGTAAATTAGTGTATGTAAAGCACTTAACACCCGACGTGTGGTAGGGCTCCAGTAACGGGCACTCTGGTTACCTTCCTGCACCTTTGCCTTCCCACACGGCCTTAACGAGGATCAGGGACCAGGCGAGAGCAGAGGGCCGCCGGGCCATCCTTCCCATCCTGAGAGGCCCCCAAAACAACATCGATATTTTCAAACAGCGCAAGCTCCAGACTTCTCAGCAGCCCAGACCGGAGGCCATGCCCCAGGCTGAACACCTGTTGGCTGAGCACCAGACAGTCCCTGCTGGGGTCTGAGCCCAGCAGGTCTGGCAAGTCCCCACACGGGCACACGTCCAGGCTGCTCAGAAGCTGGACCAGGAAAGGCCAAGCCCATTTGCATCCCGATGTGACTTCACTAGCTGGCTGTGCCCTGTGGCCGAAGGGCATTGCTTTCTTTGCTGTCAGCATGTGGCTCCCAGGTTCTAGCGTTTCTTTCTCTCCCTCATTACCGTGGCTCTGCCTGAAGCAGACGAGAAAGAGGGGCGTCCTGAGAGTGAGCAGGCAAGGACAGACAACACAGAACAAATCAGGAGGGTGGAGGGGGATAGGCTAGTAGCTCCTGAAACCCCGACTTCCACCCTGCTGTCGCCGTGTCCAGGAACCGGCCCCGCGTGTCTGGGCCATCAGCCCGCCTCCTGGACATGGAAGTCCAGTGGAGCCGGCAGCTCTCGCGCTGTTCCGGGTGCCCGGCCACCCACCACTGCCTCCAGATTCCCCAGGGGTGCCCATTAGGCAGCGTGCCAGGGCTTCCTCCTGCTGAGACAGCGCGTGCTTCGCTCCACTTTCCCAGGAGGCCTTACTGGTGGTGAACGAGGCCCTGCCCTTTGCATCACCTGGCCCAGCTCAACCTTGTGCTCATGTCCGCCCCTTGAAGATTTCCTAAGATGTTTTCCATCCTCCTGCTCCCACCATGAACTTCTGACACCACAAACTGGACTTATGGATTTGATGTACTGGGGCTCTGTGGAAGGCCGCACACCACTGAATACCCAAGTTCTTTCCTGTCCCCCAAGAACCAACTTCCACCCCTTAGGGGTGACATCGCCCTGTTGAGACTGCTCGGTCTAGGCACATGCTTGATAGCTCCTGTTACCCTAAGGCCTTCTGCCTTTTTACACATTTACTGTTCAGCTTCCAATTCCACAAATCTTCGTAAATGCTGCACATTTAACATTCTTGTTCGTCCTCTTCACTCTTTCATCTGCCCTGGAAACTGGGATCTATGTGCAAGCACGCGGCTCATGCTGTAAGAACTCCAACTGCGAAGGGGAAGTCGGTGCTGCACCGCTGCTGTCTGAAGCATTGGGGCAGCGGCTTCAGAGACCAAGTTCCCTGATGTATTGTATCCCCTGTGACTGCCACCAGGGCTCCGGGCAGAACCTGGGGTAACCACGTTCGCCTTTGCTCTTGCCCCACTTCCCTTTCTCACTTCCCGGTTCCCTTACCCTCACCCCCCCCTGCAAGAGGCCTGGGAATGGCCAGAATCCCCTTCTGAAACAGAACCCGGGCCTCTGCCCACCTCACCACAAACCGCTCCTGAGCTCAGCGAGCTATCAGGACAATCCACTGATTCAGAGTTAATGTGGCTGCGGGCCAGGACTGCCCTGATGGAGTTCACACGTCAGAAGAGGAGCTGGCTGATCAAAACCTTCTCCAGGTAGACAAACAGGGGAACTTCTGTCTCCTGTCACCTCCCTCCAATCCCAGAGCAATCCCAGCACATGGTTGGCTCTTCTGAAAGGGTTTGATCCCTGCAAATCTTAACCAGCCCACTGAATGGGAGATGTCTGCAACTGATAAATCCAGTAAGAGATTAATACCTAAAATTTATAAAAAGAACTTATACAACTAAAAAAACACAAAACATTCCTAACAATCCGATTAAAAAATGGACAGAGGACCTGAATAAACATTTCTCAAAACAGACATACAGGTGTATGAAGAGAGGCCAACAGGTACATGAGAAGATGCTCAGCATCACTAATAAGGGAAATGCAAGCCAAAACCACAAGGAGGGATCACCTCACTGGAGGCCCTGCATGGGGAGATCTGGGCGCCAGTTTGGGGAAAATGAAAAGACAAACAGGAGAGTGAGAGAAATGAAGAAACGATTTCCATCCTCCCTGAAATTTTTATTATGAAATATTTCAAATGCTCAGGAAACTTAAAATACAACGAACATTCATATCCTACATATATTAACGAGTATTAGCATTTTGCCATATT